GTCCATAAACATGCTAGGCTTAAAAGGTGCACAGTTTTTTCTCTATAAATAGTGATTCATTCCACACGCTTACGTTCAGACCCTCATCAACAGCACAAACCAGAATCGTGGTGTCGGGAGCATGATGAGACCCACAGCTCCAGCAGTTGCCATTGCTTTTCATATTTCAGCTCAAGAAACACAAGCATCAATTTTTAAAAAGAGCTCTTGCAGTTCTCATTAGTAGCAAGCAACTTCATGGCTACCCATTCTGTCTGAAAACATGGGCTTTTATACCTTTGACCAGGCATCCAAAATATCCACTCAATCAGCCTGAAGTCTAAGGCAGATTACATACTTAATTAACCCAAATTCTGAAGCTGTCACAACTGTAGTCCCATCTGACAACACTGGCAGGGTGAAGAGTTTCCCAAAAATAGCTGAATAGCTTTGGATAGAAATTTAGCACCAAATGAAAACAGTACACCTTTACATTGCACTTAAAACTCTTGCATGACTTACGAAAGCATTAAAAAAAAAAACCCCAGGGAGAAACGAATAGGATTCCCAACGTAATCTTATGAGAGTTCAGCCTCAAAGTCCCCAACCAATTTAAATCTCAGGAAAAACAATAAGAACGATGAGGCTCTCTGCTAAGAATGTCCTTTGTGGCTGTGGACAAGTCATTTAGGGCTTCACACCAAATGAAACTTACGTTTCATCTCAATAGCTCTGCTTTCCACTCTTTCAAGTGCAGCAAAACCTGAAATGACCAGCTGACAGGTGTGTTGGGAGTAGCTCACTGCACCTGTAAGTGCTTTGAAATGCCTTCCTGTAAAGTGCAAGGAGTTTCAAAGTTCTTCCACTTAAGAAAGGAAAAATAGCCAGAGGAGAAAGATCGATTTCCTTTTTAAACCTTTTAAGAATTATTACTCTAAGGGCTTTTCTGCACATTCAGAGTCATAGTGGACTGAGTCAGGATGAGAATTTAGGTCTATGGCTGAGCATCTCCATGTCCAGCTCCTCAGGAACAGGAGGGCTTGCTCCACAACAGTGCCCTCAGTAAGGCTCACAAGCAGCTACTAATGCAGAGCATTACTGAAGTAACAACTTCTACTAGACAAGTCTTGGAATTTCTCCATGGATTATCCATTAGTTTGTTTACCAGCACCTAGAAGTGCTGAAGCAAACACTAGTTTTCCATTTCATTTCAGGACTATGACAAACTTGCCCAGTTACCACAATTACAACTCCTCTGCACAGACACAGGTGATGCTGCTGTTTCCTCATCCATGAACAGGAAATCCCATAAAGCCAAGAGAGATGAAAAGCAGCAGTCTGAGAAACATGTTCACTTCTGACCTATGAGAATCATTTCACCGAGTGCCAAGGTCAACAAACAACAGGATCCTACCAGTGACTACTTTCATCTCATGGGGGGAGCTGGGTGGGAAATGGTTTTCCTGTGCTGTTGAAGTACATTTTCATGCCCTTAGGAAAAAAAACAAAACCCCAAACCTGTGTGTCTGTAAAAGGATGAAACACAAGCCAGACAGTTTGTGCTCTGTTTCTGCAAAACGTATGTGAGGAGAGGAACTGTCCCCCAGGCCAGAGTAAGCAGCCCTGCAGAGCACATCCTTGGCAGCCCTGCAGAGCACATCCTTGGCAGCCCTGCAGAGCACATCCTTGGCACAGCAGGTCAGCACAGCCTCTGACCCCGGTCTTCAGCTGGCCCCAGTGAGCACCCTGACCAGTGGGGCAAGAGTTTCCCGGGACCTTCCCTTTGCAACTTGTCCTACCCCTTCCCATACCCTCTGCTTGTGCTCCACATTCCATGCTGAGCTGCCTGACCTATTCCTAGGAACACTAACAAGGTCTGTTTTTACTGGAAATCTCATTCTTGAAAAGGCATCGCTACTCAAGAAACAACAAAAATCTTTTCCCACCTAACTAGTTCTGCTTTGAAATGCTACCTTCCCAATATGATGATCATCTCTCCACTGTTTGTTTCTCTTGCTATGGCTGGCACTGAACTATCAAAGAAGAAACCCAAAAGGAAAAAAAAAAATTGAAAAAAGTGCACAGCTCTGCTGCCCTTGATAAGCTCTAGATCAGAAAGCAGAAGTGATAGCTTTTGCACACAATGGCTGATAACCCCCAAAAGCACTCAACTCCAGCCCATAAATGGGGAGAGATCATGTTAATCAAGTCCTGCCAGGCGTGGGAAAACCAGAGAAGAGGAAAGAAAATGAACAAGGGTATGTGCTTCTCGTCATCCACATTATCTATACCGTCTTCCCAAGCTCCTGTTGCAATTGATCTTTGTTCACATTTTCTAACCACGGCAAATAACAAACAAGCTTTAAAAAAACTATCTAAATGACTGGAAAGCTGTAACCTAGGAGAAGGAGCAAAAGCTGCCTAGGGACACCAACTGGGCAATCAGAGACCTGCTTTGCTGCCCATCTACCACTCATAGTTATGAGAGGTGATTAAAGTCCAGATCCTCCTCTCCAAAACACTTCAACACCCACTCACATGCAGCTGATGGCAAACTCTAGCATGATGGTATTGCTAAAGAAAGTTCCAGTGGAGTATGAAAATCTGAAGTTCTTCCTCTCCTTATAGGCATGCTAATCCATCTGCCCAGTTGAGAAGGACTTTGAATTTTCTGATTAGGCCTCAGTCCTGCCCTTAACTCAATGAAAAGGTGACACTAGGACCTTGATCTGTTTAAGTACTTCAACATATATTTACATTTCCAAGAGTAAAACCTTTAATTTAAAGCAAATCTTAAAAACCCAACCCTTCAGGACACTGGCTGCGGTCCATCCTGAGTATTGCATTGTGTATTTATTTTATCTCTTCTATGTCACTCTGTGACTTTCAGGAAAAATCTTTTACTTTAGTTTGCCACATCAAACCACGTTCACTTTACCAGTCTACCCAGAGGTCCCATGGTGATTTACTAGTGCTGCCTCCCCCTGCACAGAGCCAACAGCCCCCCTGAGCCCTGCAGGGGCACAGCAGGGCTCCTAGGGCAGGGTCGGAGCCCTCCAGGCTGGCATGGCTGGAGGAAAAGGGAGCGAACAGGCAAGCAACTCCTCACAGCTGCTTTTGTGTGGCTCACTGGGGATCTGAATGCACTATTGATTCCGTAGCACTAAAACAGATTTGTAGCCCCTGCGTGTGCAAGACAGATATCTCCTTCAACTCTAATCTCTAGCAGCTGTCAAAGACTTAAATGGCTTGGAGCTGCCTGGCACGCCAAAATCAACGAAGATTTTAGGCTTGCTTGCCTAAAGGGCAACCCATGGAACAGGAACCAGTGAAAGTCATTCTCCTGCCCTGACCACAGATGGACAGGGCCTCCCAAAATTCAAAATGTGTCCAGATCATGTCAGTAAAACAGACTAGAGAAAACAAATGAGTGCACCCCCAAGAATCCATGCCACCAGAAACCCACTTGCCCCTATCGTTCCTTGTTGAGGATATACCCAACAATTCCGAACAGCGATAAAACTGCAGTGGAATTACTCTTCCAGGAGGCACTACCACTGTCTCATCACAAACTGCAGTGCTCTTAAAATGAAGATAACTAAAATTCACTTGGCAGTATTGAGGCAGCATCATCATAACTTACATCTTCAGGTACCTGTCTCTCCCTGCTCCGGATCGAAAATTTGTTTTCAATCAGGAAAGAATTCAACAGTGAATTTATTATTTTTTTTTTTTAATTTGAGGTAAAGTTAGAAATTCAGCCCAACTATTGTCCATTATCATCCAGCCAAGCAAACATAGGCACCACAGTTATCCTTAGTCAAGATACAGGCCCCTCAAGGCAAAATGCTCTCACAATAAACTTTTGCACTTAAGAGTCTCGTCACTTTTTTTTGTACAGGAAGTTTAACAAAAATTTTTAACCGGTCCATCTGTTTCCTTACATCTGCTTTCCAATGACTACCTTGAAACAATCCTAACACACTGGCTGCTGGGTGAAACCTTCAACAGGATTATAACATTTATTGGAAATGGTCCAATTTTTCTTTCATGCAATATTTGACAGGTGAGAAAATCATCCAAGGTTTTGACTGGGATGGTGTGACTAGGAATATAACTGAGCTCGTCTGAAAATTATGTGTTAAGACTAAAACTATTCTCTGAAACAGTAATGAAGGAAAAATAAAAGGGGAAAAGAGAAAGTTTGTTGCACTGTCTCCTATTTGACAAAACATTCCCACATTAACAGCAATAAGCAAATTAAGGATAAAGTTCAGTCTTCAGCATTAAAGTCCACAACAGGATTTTGTTGGTTGAGCTGGTGTTTTTGAAAAAAAAAAAAAAATTTTTAGTGGATGTAAAGGAAACAGGCTTTAAGGAAAAACAGGCATGCAGGAATTTCACAGCAAACTTCAAATCTCACTGAAGTTAATTTAGATTCTACATCCTATTATTGTGGGAAGAGACCCACTCTGGTTTTTAGTAACTAAAACACACCGAGTTAGTTTAACAACATTCCCAAGAAGCTCGTACTACTTTCAAAAAGTTGCAAACAGCCAGGACTGCTTTATTGGGGGGATGGGAGCGGGGCGATGGAGGTGGCGGGGAAAACGACCCGAAACAGTTCCACTCACACGCTATTTATTTATTTTCAACAGTCTGCTTACACATAAAATGTCCTGGAGCTAAAAGCAACCAGCTGGGCGGGTTACTAGCCGCGCTCCTGGGCGAGGTGCCAGAGCCCCTTCCCTTTCCCTACGAAGGAGAAGCCTTCGTACTTATTTATTTAATAATGGGGAAAGAAGGAGCCCCGAGCCCCGGGGAAGGTGGGAGGCACGGCGGAGCCTCTCTCCCCGCGGGGGCGGCCGAGCCGGGCAGCGCAGCGCCGGGAGCGCCCGCCCCTCCCGTTCCGCTGCGCTCCGAAGGAACGACCGCTCCGCCGCCCCGGGGACCGCGGCTGCCCCGCCGCCACCGCGGACCCCGGCGGGAGCCCCCCGTCCCGCCCCGCCTCCGGTACTCACCGCCGGCCGGCTCGGGCAGCGTGGAGACCGAGGTCTGGCCCATGGCTTGGCCGGGAGGCGCTCACGCCGCCCGCGGGGCGCGCAGCCTCCGCCGCGGCTGCTCCCGAGGGCACATCCCGGTGCTGGCCGGGCCCGCGCTCCCCGGCACCGCCCCGGCACCGCCCCGGCCCCGCCCGGCCCGGGGGCTGCGCCGCTCCCGCACCGGCCCGCGAGGGCAGCCCCGGCATCGCTGAGGACTTTAATAAATTTAAACATTAAAAAAAAAATCAAAGGCAGAAAAGCCCCCTTTAGCTGCAGGGAGTTTGGGAAGGATGGTGCGCTGCTGGCGTCCCGGTGCCTGCCTGCCCCCGCCCTGCTCCGAAGCCTTAGTCCAGACACGGAGTTATTCCCACCCCTTCTCGTCCCTCTGAAGGTACAGGGGAAACTTGAGACAGCCTCAGGGAGCGATCCCATCACCCTGCCTGAGGTGCTTTGCTGTTGGGAGCAGTTTTCAGGATGAGCTCCCGTCGCAAGTGGAAAAGGAGCGCCCGGGCAGGGCATGGCATCCTGACCTGGCTCATTTGGCTGAGATCTGGAAAAGTGCCCGACGCTCGCCACACTCACAGGTACATAATCGAAGATAGGACTCTTAGTTTTGAAAGAAAGAAGATAGTCAAAGACAGCGATATCCAGACTGCTGTAACGGGTGACAAGAAGGGACAGAATCAATGGGAAAAACTCATGAGGAAGATGAGGGGAAACAGACGTTGTGCACATTATAGTTGTGCATATTTAGCCAGGGCAAAACGAACAAATTATTAATTTGTCTTCCTTAAAGCATAAGCATCATCCAAGCAGTGATACAAGCTTAATGCTAGAGCAAAGAAGTAACTGTTATCACTGGTAAAAAATAAAATAAAAATAAAAATAAAAATAAAAATAAAAATAAAAATAAAAATAAAAATAAAAAAATAAAAGCCCCCCCAAACCTGAGCACCTAATAGCTGTTTCTATGCATATCTAGAAATAAGCAGGGAGATGGATATATATGTCAGGGGGACACTTAACCTCACCTAAAGAACATCTGTTAGCAAGACTTGGTGAAATACAATTTCCTAGTGGTCTGGAAATCCTAGAGGAAAATCCTAGAGGGGTTGAAGTGATGTCTGGCTATCTGATCTTTGCATGTGTTGGCACTGTGGTGGTGTTTCAAGGATGGACAAGTGTGTTAGTGTGGGGCCCATACCAAGGACACAAAAGGGGCACAAGAAGTTGCTGCTGCCTGTGTGGTAGGCAGAATAATTGTGATTGCCAGCTAATACATGGAAAATACAACTAATGCTAGTCTTCATGTTTTTATAGAAAATAGGTCCTTTTTGCTCTTTTATTTCCTCATTTTAAGTGATTATGCATTAAATTGCCAGAGGCTTGAGTGTAATGACTTCTGCTAGGTACTTGATTTAGTAAGAGAAAAAAAGTGAATACAGCACAAAATTAATAAAGCACAAACAAATGAAGAGCTAAATGAAAAGCAAATCAATTGCCCAAGCAGCAGCAGCATTTGATGAAGATGTTGGTGAGCTTCAGGGAGGCTCTTCAGAGTTTTCATCAGGAATCTAGAGTATTTTTTCAAACAGCTTTAAAAAGACTAAATAAATCGCCACTGGCAGCAATTTTAGACAGTAAATATTAACAGAGTGATAATGAGAACAAAGCAGTCACAGAGTTATCTGGATTATTTAACAAACTCAGGTCTTTCAAACAAGTTTTAATAGGGTCAAAATAAGAAAAAAGTCAGACTTGGAGGATGGAACAACACAACCTACATGGCCAAGGAATGTATCTTTGAACGTCACTCCATACAGGAGCTTGGAGAAATTCAACATGAGCTCCTAGTGAGCTATTACTGGTGGAAAAGGGATTGCTATGTACATACAGCTGTGCAAGTAGAAAAGGGTAGGTAGAAATCCCATTGCATCCTTGTGCTTTCTATCAGACAAAAAGGGCTGTCCCATATCCACTGTTGTTGTCTTTCCCTAAAAAAGATGGTGTGTGATGTGAGAGAGCTGGAAAGAGATCCACAGGATAAGATGGAAATCGCAGAAAGTGGTCTCCAACAAAAGGTGTGGGAAAAGCCAATGCACTTGGGAAAGACAGACATGTTGCATTTTAACTTAACAGTGCCCTTGCAAGGAAAGAACAGCACTGCAACACTCCTGGATGTTCAAGCACTGAAGGAAGGACTCTGTCTGACACCCCCAAATCCAGGTTCCATACAAAGCACAGCGTTGAAGACAACTGAGTGGGGCTTATGCAGAGAACCAGGCTAAACTGTGCAGTGGGAGCCAAGGGCAAGGTAGATGGACTAATGGTGCCTTTGTCAACCCAAGGAAAGGCTTCCAGAAGGGCGGCTTATTGTATTAGACGACTTCTGTCATTAATTTATCAGGACATTTTTGCATGCAATTTGGCATGCTCATTTTTCTTACCTTGAAAAGTTATTTTTAAGGGGTTTGTTTTGAGAAACTCGAGTTACCTCTTTGGAGTCACTTGTAAACAGGAACATAAAAGTTTTCCTGTCTGCCTTTGGTGAATCTCATTAATTTTATCAAAGGAAATTGTGTTCCCCTCCTGCGTAAAAGCCCAGTTTACAATGCAAAAGTGTATACCATCTGTCTGCAATGATTCACATGACGTAATAAAGTCCTCAAAGTCAATTCGTGAGTTAAATAAATGAAATTTAGTTACCACATCCTTCATGTAATTGAAGTAGTTGCCAATTTCTTTTGGTTTACTTGTTGTGTTTGTTTCTGGTTTTTTCTTCCTAAGTTAACTGATGGTGATGACTTTCTTTTCTATGAATGGTAAGGGAAACTGGGCTGTTGAAAGATATATTACATTTCTCATATGCAGAGCTGTATTTATGTAATTGCCTCCACACAGAAGGGATTCTAACGTCCTACTGACATTCACATGTGAGCATCCACACAAAATACACACATTTAATATGTGCTTGTCTGTAGACTTTAATTCTGCAGTATGATAGAAGTGTTCTCATCTGTGCATTCGATTTCTTGCCATGTTGATAGTTGGCATGTAGAACAGTTGAAAGTTTAAGGATATAACAAATTATTCTAGCAGAGATTTTAGATTACAATTATGTAGATTAAAAAATGCTTTTATTTGTTATCCTTATTTTTAAGGGTGTAGATGATCCTATGATATCTTAAGCTGTATATTCCACTTTGCACCTAAACATCTAAGAAGACAAGACACACAAACAGACTTCTAAGCATTTTGCAGTATTTTAGTCTTCTGGGGTTTCTGGAAATCCACAATTGCAAGCAAAGCAAAAACAGGCAGGGGAAGATTAAAGTGAGAATTTCAGGATTAAAATTTCCATGATCACTTTATCCAAGGCTAGTTTTGTACTGAAGGAAATTTGCAAAAAGATGCTAAAATATGTGTGTCTTCCATCAGGTGGTGAAGCAGCAAGCTGATGGGTACAAGAGGTGCCAGTAGTCACGCCAGACTGTTCTGACACAGCAGCATCAATGGGGTTCCTGGAACCTGTGTCCCAGTTAGATTTGAGATTCCAATGTGATTAATAATGTCTGATTGCTTCATGCTACACACACAGCTCTTCTCTTCTTGCCCAAAGCTACTGTGTTGAGTACTGTGGAGAGTGCTCCTAAAGAGACACACTACTGACCCTCAAGAACTGAAATATTCCCCAAAAGGGAAAAAATTAGCTTCTTCTTGAATTTCAGAAGTATTTGTAAACCTAGAACGTCTCAATTGTTGAAATGGCTGGTACGAGATATCTTCGTGGAAGATGATGTAAAACTTCCAAATGTTGCCAAAGTCGGAGTGAGATAATACACACAATAATCTATCTCACATATGAAAGGGTAAATTCTTTCCCCTCAATAAAACATCAAAGACAGGTCTATTTCAGTGTGTTTACTATACTGGGATGATGGATGGCAATAGATGACTTACAACTTCTAAGATGTTGTTGCCTGGTCTTTATAGTTCTGTAGGCTCATGTAAAAAGGCATTTTAGAAAGAGGAAATTGTATTACTATTCTCTCAATTACCAAGATTAATTTATGGCCCTAAAGATAACAGAAGCCATGAGGAGGGTCTATCACATTTTATCCCAGGATTTGTAATGCAGGACTGGCAAATGTAACAGGAAAAGACTGTTTTCCAGGAGCTTAAGGCAAACCAAGAGGATGGCACTGAGTCCAGGGCAGAAATGATCCAAACAGGTAATTTCTTACGTGTTCCACCCACTCACAACTCCTGCCAGTGTGCAGAACTGCTGGAAGATGATCAGCACGGTGTCTGGCAGGCTGCAGAGCTGAATGATACAACAAACAAAACAAAGGTCATGGCATGGAGCAAACACGAGCAAGAAGCTAGCTCACTTTTTTAGCCCTGGTCACAGTAATGTTTGTAACAATGGCATTGAATTTGTACCTGCCTGTGGAGAACCTGCAGTTGTTTGGGGAAGAGTTTGGGGAGGGTACCTCCAGTCTCTTTGCCTGAGACTGAAAATTAGCGGTGGTTGAGCAAAAAGCTAGTTCTGTTTTCTGTGAAACTGAATGCAGTTCTTAAACAGGCACCATCAAAACAAAACCACAGGTCATATTCATGGATTATACAGGCAGTGTATTGGGCATTTAGGCCATTCCTCTGGTAATAACCAGAGACTTTTTCAATAACCCCAAAATATTGTCAAATTTGAAAATATTTAGAAATATTTTTATGTGTACTTTTTTTTACTTTTAATGGCTTAGCAGTGTTGTGCCTTCACCAGCGCCATTTATCATTTTCAGTGCCCAAGTGCAAGGAAAAAAAAGAACTTGAAATCTTCCTTAAAAGAGAGGCTGTTGTTTTTGTGAGTGATCATCACCAGTCTTTCTCCCACAAAAATCCCCATTGCATACTGTCTACAAAGTAGAATGGAAGGCAACTATACAGAACTGAGAGAAGCTTCTGTAGTTCACTCTCTAAATTTGGAAGCTAAGGGTTCAGAACTTTAGATCACAGGAGTGATCTATGCAAATGTGCCTAACATGGGTTATTCTGATCTGGGTTATTTAATATGCAAATATAGGTTATTCTGATCAAAACACATAGCAAAAGTTTTT